GCTGCGGTCTGGAGCCTCCTCCCCACTTCTCTGCCCTCAGCCCGACCTGCCTCCATTTCTGCCAGCAGGTTAGTGGATGCAGGGGCCTGCCCCAATCTGGAGGGGGTGGGGAAAGATGTGGTACAAGCTCCACCTCTCCCACCCAGGATCGGGCTCAGCCATGCGCCAGGTTCAGGGCCCTGCTGCCTGGCAGAGGTAGGAGGCGCAAATTTTGTCCTTGTCCCTGAGTGCATAAAACCCTCGCTACACCTCTATTGACTTACATCCCAGAGAGAGAGAGAAGCAGGCTTCCCAACAATCCCACATGACAAGAGATGTTCCTTATTTTTTCATCTCTGCACAACAAGATTAGGGGTTGCTGAGTGTTGCAAAATGCAGCAAGAAATCCCTGTGGTGAATGTGGGTGTGTCCTGCTTGCTATAATTATTTATTAGTAATAATTAGCACGGCCAATTAATCACAGTTAACTCAGGATTCGGGCCAGTCCTGCACATGGAGAGGAGAGAGGGTCCTTGGGTCTGTCGTATGTAGGTCTCATTTACCTTTGGGGGAAAATACGCACCTAGCACATGTTTGATTTAAGAACATTTTCACTGTAGATTTGACAAAACACAAAGAACGTAGCTCTGCCAGATTCAGCCCCCTTGACGTTGTGACCCGGTGTCCTGAGACCCCACCGAGCCTCTTTTTCCTGCCAGCTTGGCCCTCGATACCTGGCTCATTGAGTCAGACATGCTGGTCTGTTACAGCATGCACACCAGCTCCGGGCCGCACCCCCAAAGATGCAGATATTAACTGAGAACAGCACAAAGTGTTACCTCTCTCCAGCACTCAGATACCCAGCCCCGCCAGAGGCCAAAGCTCTAGATAAATCCATCTTACCCTTATAAAGTCTCATACAGAATAAGCTCATGTCATTCACCCCTGTCTCTAGCTAGGCTATGTCTAGACTGCACATTGTTGCTCAAGAATATATGCAAATGAGGTGTGGTGATGAATATCGCTGTGCCTCATTTGCATACCTAATGAGCCACCATTTTTGCAGCATGGGCTTTTGCGCAAGAAGGAGCTATCTACACTGTTCCATCTTGCGCAAAACATCCCTCTTGCGCAGGAGCCGTTCTGCCGCTTATTTTCAGGAAGAACGGCTCCTGCGCAAGAGGGTTTTTTTGCACAAGACGGAGAAGTGTAGACAGCTCGTTCTTGCGCAAAAGCCCCTTCTGCAAAAATGGCTGCTGATTAGATATGCAAATGAGGTTCTGCAATATTCATCACTGCGCCTCATTTGCCTGTCTTTTTGTACAATAATTTGTGTATCTCCTTCTGTGTTTTTTTTCCTGGAAGAGGTTTTTCCAATATTTGGCCTGGCTACATGAGGCCAAATGTAGGGGGGAAAAATCCTCTTTTGAAAGCCCCCTTATTTCTCCTAAAAGAGGTTTGCAGGGGGCTTTTGAAAGAGGGTGTTTTTCCCAATATTTGGCCCCGTGTAGCTGGAGCAAATATCAGAAAAGCCTCTTTCAGGAAAAAAAATGGAAGAAAATATTTCGGAAGCCGCATGTAGTCTAGATGGGCTGTTAGATCAGTAATCTCATTGTGTCTAGAGAAGTTACACTCTAATGATACATGTTTTGTAAAATAACTTGTCTGGTTAAATTTCAAATACAAGTCATTTTCAAGGGAATCCTTAAAGGAAGAAAAGTGTCGACGTTTTATGTTAAAATTTAATTCTTGATTTGTTTCCTCATCATTTTAGACATACAATCACAGCCCACCCTCAATCGCCTCTCTTCCTTACTATTGCTTCACTTCTGTCTGTTCTAAATCACAGCTTCCCAGTTTCTCCTGGGGTGAACCAACCACCGTGCATATCTCTCTATCATTGATAAATGGGGCTGACCTTATGAGCTTTCTTTGTGTAAAACTTCAACATGAGGTAAGCTAAATTTATTTGGGGTTTTGACTCTCTTTGAGGCTGTTTTCCTGGGTGCTCTCAAAGGCCTCATAGCTGAGCCTTCCCAGAACTGAGCTGTTTCAGCATTTGTGTTGCTCTGCTGGGGGTGGTTACCCCAAATCCGTACCTGGGCTGGGGGAGATCAAAGCTTCTGGCCCAACAAAGCAGGCTGTTGGGGAGCCCCAAAGGGCAGGTAGGGTGGTGTGATGATCAGCACACTGGGTCATAGCCCAAGAGGACTTCTGTGATCAAACCTATCACAATAATAGCTTTGAAAAACACACTCTGGCTGTGTCTACATTGGCACCCTTTTCCGGAAAAGGGATGCTAATGAGACACTTCGGAATTGCAAATGCCCCGGGGATTTAAATTTTCCCTGCGGCATTTGCATGAACATGGCTGCTGCTTTTTTCCGGCTCGGGGCTTTGCCGGAGAAAAGCACCAGTCTAGACAGGCACCTTGCGGAAAATAAACCCTTTTCTGGAAGATCCCTTATTCCCGATTTCAAGTAGGAAATTTTGTCTCACCTGTGCACTGTGGAGCAATCCTGCTGAGTAGTTTGAGTGCCAGTCTGTCCCCCACAGACAGAGCCTCCCTCTGCCAGCCCTTCCCCCACATCCCAGATGCACAATGACAGAAAGTTTGTTTCCGTGTCTGCATTTTCCTGGGCAGGAGGTGGGGGGCTGCTGCAAGATGGCAGCAGGGGTTGGACTCCCCACCCACACACACTCACCAACCCAGAGGGGAGCAGCAGGAAGTCGAGGGACCCACAGCCTGCTCCTCTCTGCTGCCATCTCCCAGTGGGTTGGTCCCTTTCATTGTGGCCCCTGGAACTCTGCTGCACTCGGCTCCCCTGAGCTTGCAGAGCAGGGTGAGAATGGGGCCAGGGCTGGGGCTCTCTGCTTCCCACCACTGTGATGAAGTGGAGTTTCCCAGATTGGAGATAGCAGAGGGGAACAGGCTGAACCCCCAAAGCCCGGGGCCTGAGGCCACTGCCCCAAACAATCCTATGGATGGGACAGTTCTGTGGGTAGCATCGGTTGCTTTGCCCCCTTCTGGGAGTGGTGTGGAGCCGGGGCCACTTGAAGGAAGTGCCGGGCCCTTCAATGGGCAGGTTCTGAATAGCTTTTGCTACATAAAGATGAGGAGTAGCATGAGTACAGCAGGCCCAGCTATGCTGGATCAGCATTTCTCTTCCAACCCCCAATCTCCCGAAGCCAGCCCTCTGTACCCTTTACTATACCTCATACCCCTTGTCCCAGCCTTGAGCCCCCTCAGAGCTGGCACCCCATACAACATCCTACACCCCATACCTGTGAACCAGCCCTGACCTCTCTTCCCCGAGCCAGCACCCTATAGCCCTGCTTGCAGCCCAACACTGTGCCCCAGTGCAGAGCCCTCTCCTGCTGCACCCAAACTCACCCCAAGAGCTTGCACCCCTCACCCTCTCCAGCACCTCAACCCTCTGCCCAAGAGTCTCCCTGGAGCTCCCACCCACACTGAACCTCTCAGTCCCCGCCCAGAGCTTGCACCCCCTCCCAAATCAACATTTTCAGCATTGAACACTGCGGGAGGGGGGAAAAAGAGGAACACATTGATCAATGAACATTTGGGCAGCCTTATCAGGCTTGCGATGAGAAATTATAAATACTGAATGGAAACAGTCAAGAAGGAACTTCACTCTTAGGCTACGTCTAGACTGGCATGAGTTTCCGGAAATGCTTTTAATGGAAAAGTTTTCCGTTAAAAGCATTTTCGGAACAAAGCATCTAGATTGGCACGGATGCTTTTCCACAAAAGCACTTTTTGCGGAAAAGTGTCCATGCCAATCTAGACGCGCTTTTCCGCAAAAAAACCCCGATCGCCATTTTCACGATCGGGGCTTTTTTGCGGAAAACAAATCTTAGCTGTCTACACTGGCCCTTTTGCGCAAAAGCTTTGCGCAAAAGGACTTTTGCCCAAACGGGAGCAGCATAATATTTCCACAAGAACACTGACAATCTTACATGAGATTGTCAGTGCTTTTGCGGAAATTCAAGCAGCCAGTGTAGACAGCTGGCAAGTTTTTCCAGAAAAGTGGCTGATTTTCCGGAAAAACTGGCCAGTGTAGACACAGTATTACAGTTTTCAAAGTAAGTTTTGCAGTATTAATCTCTTAACAAGTTTACTCCCATAGCTGTCTTTTTAATTCCATGTATTTTCTTAGTTTTTATTTTGTAAAGGGATATCGTTTTGTTTTAGCTACACAAGTGGCTCTGTAACATTACATCCGCGAGGAGCAGCAAGCAATGTGCTCATTTAGCAGTTGATGTGGCTTTCACATTGAGGATTTTTTTCCCCAAAGTGGCCCCCACTTCACATATCATGAAAAACTCTGTGCTAGCTTGTGCCCTCCTGCACTTCCCGTGAGGAACCCCCTGATGGCTCTGGACCTCTCTCCTCCCCTGCTTCCCACAGATCCCCTTCCCCCTCAGACTGGAAACTGACTGTGCCCTTTTCTGGGGGTTTCTCTAATATTTGCCCTTAAAATCCTCATTTCCAAGCATTTCATAATTTCCCAAGCAATTGCTCCTGCCTGACAGCTTGATAGCTGAGATAGCTGCAGAAAGTGAGCACAAAAGGGGCCTAAACACTGCTGTGGTTGTGGTTAAAAATACAATGTCGGGGGAGATTTAATACCGTATTTCCCCAGTCCTAGCTGGGAAAGGAAGAAAAGAATTAGCAGCCATGACCACTGAGATTCACATTAAATTGGTGCCACATCATCTGTCC